GAGAGAGAGAGAGAGAGAGAGAGAGAGAGAGAGAGAGAGTCCTCTGGCATGAATGCAGAGGCCCAAGGATGACATTGAAAATTCTCTATCACTCTCTGCATTGGTCCCCTGAGACAGGGTCTGTCTGTGAATCTAGAGATAGCTCTGTTTTCTTTTCTTTTTCTTTTTCTTCTTCTTTTGTTTTTGTTTAGTCGAGACAGGGTTTCTCTGTGTATCTCTGACTGCCCTGGAATTTGCTAAGTAGACCAGGCTTGAAATCACAGCCTGCCTTTGTCTCCCTGAGTATTAGGATTAAAGGCATGTGTGAGTACGTGTGTGTGTGTGTGTGTGTGTGTGTGTGTGTGTGTGTGTGGCACCACCGCCTGGCCTGTTTTATTTTCTTAAGATGTAATAATCATTATTATTTATATTTTTAAGATGAGTGTGTAAATGACAGATTGTGTGGGTGCCCACCAAGACCAGAAGAGGGCATTGGATTCCCTGGAGTTAGAATTAGGGGAAGTTGTGAGCCACGGAATGTATCCACCAAACTCAGGTCCTCTGAGCCATCTCTCCAGCCCCCTCTGTCTGATTTTTTTTTCTGAGACAGGGCTTCTCTGTGTAATCTTCCTGACTGTCCTGGAACTCACTCTGTAGACCAGGTTGGCCTCAAACTCACAGAGATTCACCTACCTCTGCTTCCCAAGTGCTGGGATTAAAGGCGTGTCCTCCCACTACCCAACTGACTGATCTTTTTTTTAACCTGAGAGTCTCCTATCCCCATCCTATAATACACCTTCTCTTTATATCCCCCCTCTCTCTCTTACACACACACACCCACACACACACACACACACACACACACACACGCATGCATGCACATACACACAGAGGCACTCTCTTATATACATACACTCACATACACACGTTTGCATGCACACACTCACATACATGCACACTCTCATACATATGCACATATTCTCCCTCCCTAACACACACACACACACTCACATGCACACACACACACACAGGCACTCTCTCATATACACACACTTACAAACACACACACTTGCATGCACCCACTCACACACATGCACAGTCTCACACACATGCCCATATTCTCTCTCTCTCTAACACACATACACAGACACACACACACACACACAAACACACAAACACACCATAACCAGCTTTTGTGTGGATGCTGGAGATTCAAACTTGGGTTTGAATCTTGTGCTCTTACTCCTGAACCATCTTCCCAGCCTTTTCTTAACTCTAAAGCCATTAGCTAGCTGGTCCTCACCCAAAACCCTGCACTCCAGAGGCTCACATGAGGATCACAAGTTTGAAGTCAATCTGGCTGCATAGTGAAACACTCCCACCTCCCCAAAGCAAAAAACAACAAACAAAAAGAACTGGCTACATCCATGCTCTTTCTGTGAGGTGGCTGTATCAGTTAGCTTTAGCTGTGTAACAAACTACCCCAAACATGGAGGCGCTTAGCAACATACATTATTCCCCATGATTCTATGAGTCTGCTGGGACAGTTCTGGCCTGGGCTCATTTAAATCATCTCTATGGTTGACTAACCACTAGACTGTGACTGATCTCAGATGGATCTGTCCTCATATGTGTGGCAGTCATCTGCCTCATGGTTGGGGCAATGGAGGTAATTGCTCCTTGGAACACTCACATGGAGATAGTCATGGGCTCCAAGAACAGCAAGAAAGGCAAGCTCTGCTATCTCATACTTTGAATTCTGGCCCTTTAGCCACTCTCCCCCACTGGCAAATAGCATGCCTTAACATGGACCAGTGTGCAGGGGTATTCCTGCCACAGAAGGGCTCAGCTGGAGCAGGGACCCACTGCTAACGGCTCGACTTGAGGAGTAAGCCACCTGCCTTGGATGGAAAGAAGGGTGCAGGGACTGGGAGATGGCTCGGTGGGTAAAGCACCTGCTATCCAGATAGCTAGCAGCTGCATAAAATCCTGATGTGGCCGCACACAGCTGTAACCTGGGCCTGGGGAACAGAGACAGGCAGAACCCAAAGGCTTGCTGGCTAGCCAGCTTAGCTAAAGCAGTGGCCCCAGCCTCAGTGAGAAACAAGACCGGAGTCAGGGAGACGGTAGAGAATTCAAGTTCAGGTCCTGGTCCCACATCAGGTGGCTCACAGTCATCCATAGCTCCAGTTTCATGGGATCCAGCGCCCTCCTCTGGCCTCCTGCGGGCACAGGCATGCACTGCACAAACACACACACTTCAAATTTTGAGCAAATCTTTAGGGCTGGAGAGATGGCTCAGCAGTCAAGAGCACTTGCTGTTTTACTTCAGCAGATCCAGGTTCAGTTTCTCAGCACCCACATGGTGGCTCACAGTCATCTATAGCTCCAGTTCTAGGGAATCTGACACCCTCTTCTGGCCTCCTGCAGGCACTGTACACACATTGTGTACAAACTTACATACAGGCAAAATACTCATTCACATAAAACAAAAATATATAAATCTTAAAAACTAAACTAAGAGCTGAAGAGATGGCTCTGTGGTAAGACCACTGGCTATTCTTCCAGGACCTGGATTTGACTTCCGGTACCCACATGGTGGCTCACTATCATCCATTACTCCAGTTCTAGAGAGTCTGATGCCTTCTTCTGACCTTCACAGGCACAAGACGCACACTCATGATGCACATACACATGTACAGGCAAAACATATAAACACGTGAGATAAATAAACTGATCTAACATTTGTATATATGTGCATATATATGTATATGTGTATATGTATACATATGTGTACATGTTATGTTGTGCATGTGTAAATACGTTATGTGTACGTATATGTGCATATGTGTGCATGTGTGTATATATATGTATATGCATGCATATATGTGTATATTTTAAAAAATAAGGCAGAGGGCAGTAGAGGAAAACACCCAACATGGACCTCCACCTCCCACACGTGGACAATGGACATGCGCTCATGCATACGCTCCCACACATTACAGACAGATCATTTTTTATGGGGAGGAGCAGAAGTCGTGGACCTGGCTTCTTTGACCGTGGAGACCTCTGCTGGTGTCATTGAGTTACTGCTGTCCTCACTTGACAGAGTACCTGACTTAGGAGAAGGAAGGATTTGCTTCAGCTCATGGTTTTGGTGGTGTCAGTTCACCATGGGGCACACCTCAGTTCGCACCATGGAGGACAAAAAGCTAAGGGAGAATTGTTCACGCCCAGACCAGCTTCCTCCTTCCTCTACTGATTTCTTTGTGTTCCCAGCCCAGGGGCATGGTGCCACCCACACCTAGACCTGGCTCCCCCTTCTCAGTTAACCCATTACACAGTGCTGTCGCCCAAAGTGCTCTCGCTGCACCCATCTTCTGGGTGACTTAGGCGCAGTGAGGTTAACGCTGACGGTCCTTCAGTCAGGGACCGGCTTTCTCAGAACCCTGAATCCAGGCATTGGGGTTCACCAGGGGCATCTTCTGCTCCCAGGACCCCTGACGCTGCCCCTGCTGCCCGTGCTGTTTGCGGCTGGTGGTCTTCTCCTGCTGTCCGCCGCCTCCTGTATTGGGGGACTCCTCTGGCGGCGGAGATCGAGGCGCCTTGCTGAGGGTGAGGAGACTCGATGGGTGGGACAGCACAACTCTGCCCAGCAGGTCTGTGGGCATGAGCAGAGTCTCTGAGGCCCCCATTTCCTGTTTCAGAGATCTCAGAGAAGACAGAGGCAGGGTAAGCGGGAGAGCTCGGGAGAGCTCGGGAGAACTCGGGAGAGCTCGGGAGTGCCGGACGGGTGGCAGACTCGGTGCCCATGTTCATCTACACTTTCGTCCTGGAAGGTCGGAGGAAGATCGAATTAGGAATGAGTATGAGGAGAGTCAGTGGACTGGCGACCGGGACACAAGAAGCTCCATGGTGAGTAAGGGTGGCCTGGCAGCCTCCAGTTCAGCTCAGGCTAATCACTGTCATCTCCTAGAATCAGCAAGTCAAGGGAAATGACCTTGTTTTCTGGTTTTGTGTGTTCATGTGTAATCATGTGTGTGTTCATATGTATGCATGTGTATGTGTGCTCATGAATTTGTACATATGTGTGGGCATGTGTACACGTGCATGAGTGTGTGTGTATGTGTGTTCGTGTGTATGCATGTGTATTCAAGTATGTGTTCATATGTGTATTCATGTGCATGTTTGTGTTCGTGCATGTGTGTTCATGCGTGTGCATGTGTATATGTGACAGGTTAGCACAGAAGTGGAACCACATTACCACTACATGAGGGACTTCAACCCCCAGCTTCCCTCCACACTGGAAGAGGTGTCTTATCACCCAGGTGAGTTGTGATCACACCAGGACTCCCCCTGTTTCCAGGTACCCTGACATCTGAGCTGGGCCCTCTGATATCTTTTCCTTCCAAGCTCTGTTAGCTACTTCTGTATTACTATGACCAAAATACCGAGGAGGCCAGGTTTCTATTGCCTCACTTCAGAGGGTTCCACCCATGGCTGCTTGGCTACATGTTTGTGTGGCACAGGAGAGCTGCTCATTTCATGGTGAACAGGAAACAGGGTGATCCAGACAGGAAGGGGACCAGAGGCAAGAGAGCCCTCCTCACAAGGACACATCCTTGTGACCTACTTTGTCCAGCCAGGCATTCCCTTCATTGAAGTTTCCAGAACCTCCCACACTAACACCACTAACGGTGGCTCGAACCCCCAACATGTGAGCCTTTGAGGGGGACATTTTCCCTCCGCAATACTAACGTCTGCCAACTCCAGCCTTCACAGGTATTGAAGATGAAGACATAGCTTTCCCTGGACACCTCTACGATGAGGTGGAGAGAGCCTATGGCCCGCCTGGGGTCTGGGGACCCCTCTATGATGAAGTCCAAATGGTGAGGAGATTCTTATCACCAGGTTGTCTGGGCTGAAACCCCACCTCCTACTGTGTGTATCAGTTAGGATACACAGCTGTGACAAAGAGACCCAGCCTCAGTGCAGTGGTAGAAGGAGCCAAAGTGATACACCTTGATCCAGGAATGATGGTGCATGCAAGAGAGGAGGAGGAAGGTGGGGGGGAGTATAAGGTCAGCCTTGACCATATAGTGGGAGTCTGTCTTCTCCAAGGAAAAAACTGAGGTCTTTCTCATGCAGCTGCCCAAGTGGGGTCCCACTGTACCCAATGACTTAGAACCCAGGGCTCTCTCCCCGGATTCCTGTCACTTTCTAATATACCCATTGCTTGGGTCTGCAGGCATAGCTCAGCTTCGCGGGGGTGGGAGATCAACCAGCTAGAGGAAGATAGAGAAAGAAGGTGCCAGAGAGACCCAGAAATGGTCGCCCTCCCCTCTGCTCTCTTCTGATTGGTGGGGACATGATCACATGGCTGTGTCTCACCACAGAGACTGGGAGCTGTTGTCCTGTTGTCTACAGTTCTGCCACTGTGGGAGAAGGAAGGGGTGTGTTTGCTTGGACCGTTGCCATCCCCATCACACTGGTTAAGTTGCTAGAAAGAAAGCATTTTTAAGAACTAGGTTTTGGTGTTTTTGTTATTGTTATTGTTGTTGTTGTTGTTGGGCAGTGGTGGCGCACACCTTTAATCCCAGCACTCGGGAGGCAGAGGCAGGTGGATCTCTGTGAGTTCGAGACCAGCCTGGTCTACAAGAGCTAGTTCCAGGACAGGCTCCAAAGCTACAGAGAAACTCTGTCTTAAAAAATAAAACAAAACAAAAAAAGAACTAGGTTTTTTAAATGTCATGTGTGCATGCATTGTGTGTATATATGGATGTGCATGCATGACGTACATGCCAATGTCAGAGGACAATTCTGTGGAAACCACCAGACTTTCATGGCATGTGCCTTCACCCGCCGAGCCAACTCGCTGGTCTGAGGGAGGATATCTTTGATCCACTCAGCTGAAAAGCTACATGCTAGAATTGTCTTCAGGCACAACTAGACTCAGAATTTCTCTCTAAACATTTCCCAATAGAGCCAGCTTTCCATCCTGTTAGATTTGAAATCTTCAAAGAAAGAGAATGACTCTTTCCCAGGCAGTTCCCAATGCACGGTGCAGGCATACACTGACCTGCTTTTGGCCACACACACATGTTGCTGAGCCAAGCACTAAGACATGATAGAATATACCAATTGGTTTTGGAGATTTTGTTTCGAGACAGGACTTCATATAGCCCAGACTAGATTTAACTTGCTATGTAACTTAAGATGACTTTGAACTCCTATTTGCCTGATCTCCATCTCCAAAGTGCTGGTATTACCCATGTGAGTCATCACATCTAGCGTGTTATACTACCTGGATAAGCCTGGATCGGTGTTCATCTACAGGGTCAGAGATTTACAGGTCAACACTATTCCTTACACTGGGCTGAGAGTGGGAGAGGGCAGAGAACTCAGGATGGAGTGAGGATGATGGCTTGGCAGATGCCAATTACAGGCAAGCACTTCGACCTCCCACCACCCACTCACATCCAGGAAGATGAGAAACACGTTGATGTTCAAACTGAATACGGGGTATCTGTCTGTCTTCCAATACTCAAAAGGACTAGGAGTTTTATATATATATATATATATATATATATAAACATCAAAACAAAGCAAAAAGCCTGACTCTCTCCTGAGCCCGACTACTCTGGGCCAAGGATCTCTCTTGGTGACAATGTCAATCCAAGGCACAGGTCTCAGATTCGACGATCCCACTTTCAATGACAGGGCGGCCGAAGAGCTGTCCGTGGTGCTGTCCGTGGTGCTGGACCTTATGATCCCTGGGAAGCGCTGGTGGGTCTGGAGAACAAATATTTTGGGCTTTGGGGTACTTATGTTCTTCCTTTAAGATTTTCATCACTGTCACAGGGTAGAAGCAGTCCCAGCGTATGCATATGCGAACCCACCAGGCTACCTGCCTCTGTCTCCAGAGTGCTGGGATTAAAGGCGTGTGGGCATGCATCACCATCACCCAGAGAATTCTAGTTAATTTTTCCCAGTTAATTTTTATGCTGCACAAATACTATCATCCTTTGATTTTTCCTAACTATTTATTTATGTATTTTATATTTAGAGACAGGGTTTCTCTGTAGCTTTGGAGTCTGTCCTGGAACTCCCTCTGTAGATCAGACTGGCCTCGAACTCACAGAGATCTGCCTGTTTCTGCTTCCCGAGTGCCTTGGTAAATGGTGTGCACCACCACAGCACAACTTTCTAACAATTTATAATTATCAACCTATTTGTAGCTCCTGGGTAACACAAAAGCAGAAGAGGTGACTGTACTTATCTCACGGATCAGTGCTGTTCCAAGTTTGCTAAACTCAGCGTTCATTTTCTCTGAGTCTTAAGACGGAACACACCTCCACAAAGGGCCAACCTATGTGACCTTCCCCCCTCATTCACTTAAAATTAATTATCTGTGTGTGTGATGTGCATGTGTGTGTGGAGGCCCGAGGGCAGCTTGTAGAGATTAGTTCTCTCCTTCTGCCACATGAGTCTGCAGACTTGAGCACAAGTTTCCAGACGTGGTAGCATCTTTGCTTTCTGAGCCATCCCACAGTTCCACACATCTTAAAAATCCAAAGTCTCTCTACATAGTGAAGACTGGCCTTGGACTGTCAATCTCCCTGCCTCAGCTTCAGAGAGTGCTGAGATCACAGTTGTGTGTCACCGCACCAGGCTGTCTTCCATTTTGATGGGGAAATGTGTTGGGAGCCATGAGACAAACAGAACTGAGACTCACATCTTGCAGAAGCCACAGCTGACATCCTCTCTCTCTCTCTCTCTCTCTCTCTCTCTCTCTCTCTCTCTCCATTGTGGCAAGGTCTTTCTCATTCTGTAGTCCAGGTTGACCTTGAACTAACAGCAATTCTCCTGCCTCAGTCTTCAAAATGATAGAATTACACGGTTGAGCCACCACATTTGGCCCTCAGCTATCGTTATTGTTGTTGTTGTTGTTGTTGGGTATGGGTGTTTTGCCTGTGTTTTATCTGTCTATCCATTTACCTTTTGTCTCACTATGTAGAGGCCAGGGTGGCTCTAAATTCAAAATCCTCCTGCCTCAGATTCCTGGGCACTAAGATTATAGGCATGTGCTACCACATCCAGTTTTAAACCTTAATTATAGAGAAGATCCCCACACAAGGAAGCGATTATAATGAGCCATTTTCACAAACTCCTGTCTACCTATCTCCTAGCTTTAACAGATTCCGCCCTCACCCCATCTTGACTTTTCTCAAATTCCACCTTCAGACAGACAGATAGAGAACTTTTGAGGTGGGGTGGGTCCTTGTTATGTAGCCCTGGCTAGCCTAGAAGTCACTATGTAGCCCAGCCTTTCCTCAAACCCAAAGGAAGAGCCTCGGGGGCACTAGAATTACAAGCGTGAGCCACAATGGCTGTGTATAATGGCTTCTGGTTCTGTTTTGGTTTCAACAGCACCGGGGATTGCACAGAAGGCCCTGTGCATGGCAAGCAACTGTGCTAAATCTCAGGGTTAGAAGGAAGCTCGACAGGGATGTATGTCCTCCAGAACTAGAGTGAAATTCCACAGGACGTCTCTCTGTGGCTCTGACTCCCCTTCTTGCCCATTAGGATCCCTATGACCTTCCCTGGCCTGATGTCAAGTATGAAGATCCAAGGGGAATCTATGACCAGGTGGCAGCAGACTTGAGTGCCATGGAGCCTGATTCTCTACCCTTTGAGCTGAGGGGACATCTGGTCTGAGAATCTTCATGACACCTATTTCCTGCAGACATGGTACATCTTGTTCCACTGGCCCTGCGTGTTCCTTTCCTGCAGCCAGGGTGTGTCTTGCTCCACGGGTCCTGTGCATTGCTTTCCTGCAGCCAGGGTGTGTCTTGCTGCACGGGCCCTGTGCATTCCTTTCTTGCTGATCTTTCAATGAGCACCGCACCGCATGATGCTAACACGTGGTTTCTTTTTCAGGAGAAGACATGAGGGAATGTGTGAGCGACAAGAAGACTCAAGTTGACATCTGGCATAAGCAAGGCTCCTTTTATAGGAATGAAACTTCTCCAAAGGGATAGAGCCCCTTGGAAACGACATCTGAACAATGAGAAGCCATTTTAAGAATCATTATGCTTTTCAAAAGTAAAACTTTGAGAAGTAGGGAAGACCTATTGAAATCCCATTCAGAGCCTGAGGACATGCTCAGTGGGTGAGCGTATGCATTAGCATGTGTGAGGTCTGGGCTACAGGCTGCAGCCAGCCCTGGCACTACATATACATGAAAAACTGGGCATAGTGCCCACCCCTGTCATTCCAGCTCTTCAGGAGGCCAAGAAAGGAGAAGCACAAGTTCAGAGTCAGCTTGGGCCACTAAAAGCACAGGGGCTGAAAAGATGGGTCAGGGGTTAAGAGCTCTACCAGCAGCTACTGCTCTTGACGCAGAACCTGAGTTTGGCTCCCAGCACCCACATCAGGTGACTCACAATCACATGGAGCTCCAGTTCTAGAGAATCTGATGTTTTCTTCTGACCTCCATTGGCAAAAGCACTCATGTGTATATACCAACACATAGATACATACATATGCACACAATTAGAAATAAAATAAATCCAACAGAAATTGTATTAATTAAATTACTGCCTAGCCCATTAGCTCTAGTCTCTTATTGGCTAACTCTCACATTTTGATTAACCCATTTCCATTAATGTGTATCGCCACTTGACTGTGGCTTACCAGCATGAGTCTAACCAGGGTCCATCTCGGGCAGGAGAATCATGGCGTCTGCCACACTTCCCTTCCTCCCAGCATTCTGTTCTGTCTACTCCACCCACCTAAGGGCTGCCATATCAAAAGGCCAAGGCAGTCTGTTTATTTAATCAATGAAAGCAACAAGCAGAAAGAAGAATCTCCTACACCAGATTCCAGCAAACGACTATAGACGTGAAAGAATGCACACTAAAGACTATAGGTGTGAAAGAATGCACACTAAAGACTATTGACGTGAGAGAATGCACACTAAAGGCTATAGACGTGAAAGAATCACACTAAAGACTATAGATGTGAGAGGATGCACACTAAAGACTATAGATGTGAAAGAATGCACACTAAAGACTATAGATGTGAGAGTAGATGTGAAAGAATGCACACTAAAGACTATAGGTGTGAAAGATGCACACTAAAGACTATAGATGTGAGAGAATGCACACTAAAGACTA